CAAGGACAAGGACAAGGACAAGGACAAGGACGCCGAGCCGGAGGACAAGCCGTTCGACTGGGACGAGGATCCGACGGACCTGTCTCTCAAGCTCACGGTGATCGACATGTACAACGAACGGCTGGATCGACGACTGCGGCGGAAGCACTTTATGTTTGAGCGCAATCTGGTCGACTACCGGCGCAACCAGGCGGCGGAGCGGCGGCGGCCCAAGGAGGAGCGCGAGCTGCTCTCGAGGACCAAGCACTTTGCGCAGATGCAGACGGCGCTCGACTACGAGGATTTCCTCAACGGGCTGTGCTACGAAGAGGCGCTGCGCAAGGCGGCGGCGCAGCTGCAGCACTACCGCAAGATGGGCATCCTCACGCTCGAAGACGCCAGCACGTACGAGCGCGAAAAGAGCGAACGCGCGCGCAAGGCTGCCGAGCTCGCAGCGGGCGGTCTTGCCGCCTTCCCGGCGTCCGGTGCGGCAGCGACGCCCGTGGCGGCATCGGCGCGGCCCAGGATCGACGCGGCGCGCGCACGACAGCGCGAGACGAGCACGCCGACGCCGCACGACGACACCAGCACGACATCAGCAGCCGCAGCAGCTGCCTCGAGTGGCGGAGCGGCGGCGAACGGCAAGGAGAGCAAAAAGGACAAGGGCGACAAGGACAAGGAGGGCAAGGCGAAGAAGGCGGGCAGCGGAGCCAATGGGAGCGACGAGCCCAAGACGCCGCGCAAGCCGCCGCAGCCGCTCAACCTGGCCAAGGCGCCGTCGCTGAACCTGCTGACGCCGGCCGAGGTGCAGCTGTGCTCTGCGCTGCGCATCCTGCCGCAGCCGTTCCTGGTGATCAAGTCGACGCTGATCGCCGAGTTTATCGCGCGCGGCGGCAAGCTGACGCGACGCGAGTGCCGCACGCTCATCAAGATCGACGTGAACAAGCTGGGCAAGGTGTGGGACTTTTTCAGCGAGATGGGCTACTTTGACGCCGCGCGCGAGGCGGGCTGGACGGGCGGTATCGGATCGCCGCCACGCAGCCGCGACAAGCTGGTCAAGAAGCCCGAGTGGCTGGATGGCAGCATGGCCATGTCGGCGAGCTACTCGTTTGCGGCCACCGCGTCCGGTGTCAATGGCGTGGCTGGCAACGGCAAGGCGAGCGGCGTCAATGGGGTGCCGACGAGCAATGGAGGCGGGTTGTTTGATCTGGCGCATGCAAGCCCCGGGCTGACGTCGGCACAGCAGCAGCAGGCGCAGCTGCATCACAATGCACGCGGTGCGCCGCTTGTTGCCTCGCCTGCGCTGGGCACGGGAGGTGGCGATGCACCGCAGAGCCCGAGCAAGCAGGAAAAGTATCGTCCGACTGCAGCCGTGTAAGCAGCTCAGCGCCATTGTATTGTAGCGAGCTTGGCCACCATGTCTAGTCGCGTCTGGCTGAAGACGGTGTGTGTGTGTGTGTGTGTGTGTGTGT